CTATCTATCTATCTATCTATCTATCTATCTATCTATCTATCTATCTAATCAATCTACTATCTATCCATCCAGTCAGCCATCCAGCCATCCATCCAAACTCTCTCAGCCCAGTATTTGCAGTAATATGATAGAAACTTACCCAGGCCTACCCTTCAAACAAGGAAACGGAGAAAGAGGCAGACCGACAGCAAAACAAACCAAAGTAGCCAGTGGACCAAAGCCATGGTGAAAGCATGTGTGTTATTCAGGCTGTGCCAGTGCAGAGTCCCCTCACCCCAGGCAGAGGGATGAGAGCCCAGTGTGGCCTGGCTACCCCGCAGGAGACGCTAAGTCTGCTGCCTCAGTGGTTCTGGGGATCACTCAAGGGAATTCTACACAGGCAGTTGTGCTTTGCTATGAATCACCACATCCCCACAGTGACAGTGGGAATTCTGTATCCGAATGAGGAACTGGTAAAGTATTAGCATGTGTCTATACTTAATTTCTGTCAGACTTAGGCTTCCAAGCAGGGGGTGGAAGTGGGAAGTGAGGAGTTATGTGATATAGAGGAATTCTAATATCCTGCTCCAGCTGTAAAAATCAGGTGTCATGGCTCACTACCCCGAGCCAAATATGTTGCCAAAATTCCTTGGTCCAGCACACAAGACTGTTTAAAAACCAGATGAAGGGGCGCCTGGGTGGCGCAGTCGGTTAAGCGTCCGACTTCAGCCAGGTCACGATCTCGCAGTCCGTGAGTTCGAGCCCCGCGTCGGGCTCTGGGCGGATGGCTCAGAGCCTGGAGCCTGTTTCCGATTCTGTGTCTCCCTCTCTCTCTGCCCCTCCCCCGTTCATGCTCTGTCTCTCTCTGTCCCAAAAATAAATAAACGTTGAAAAAAAAATTAAAAAAAAAAAAAGAAGAAATAAAAACCAGATGAAATCTGACTTTTTTGCCTTCTCTCTTTTTCTCCTCCTACACCAACTTTTTACTGTGACCAAACAAGCTTTGTTTCTTTAAACTTCTTTTCCGTCTCATGGCACCCCCATTCCTCTTTCCTCCTCTCCAGGCATTCCTGGCCTCCCCAGATTGTCCTCCTGACCAGGGAAGGTTGGGAACCATTGGACTATCCAAGGCCCAAATCAAATCCTGCTTTATCCATGATACCTGCTGGGGCTGCTCTGGGATCCAGGCCTGTCCCCTTCCGCCACGAATCCTACCACAGTTATGGCTCAGGTCAGTCCTCTGGCACATGGTGATGGACTGCCTGTCATTTCATGTTATGGTCTTCTTTTCCTCCAATTTAGCACTTTCACTGTTCTTTCCCTTCCTTACATGTCCGTGCATCTTAATCCCCCAATTAGAGGTGGAAACAATGAGCACTGAATCCCACCGTGCCTTCCATTTAGTTAGGGGTCACTAAATATTTTTGATCCCCTGAAAGGGGTCAAAGGCCTGGAAGCAAAGCCAAACATGACTTCATCCGCGGCATCCCAAGATGAAACTTATGGGAAAGATGCATGCCTTGCAGTGTTGTGGGGCAGCTGTCAGGGTTTGTGCCCTCGTGCCAAGTTGAAGACAAGCCAGTGTCTACGAAATCCAGCACAGTTTCTCCATCAGTCTTAAATCTGATGAGGCAAGAGTTTGTGTTAGGTAAACCTGGGTTTACTTTAGCATATACCTTAGATGTTCTGAGTATTGAGCCTTGTAGGAATATTGCAACAATCTCAGAAGGTTCAAGTAAGCTACCAATGTCACTGTGATCTAAGACTCAAACCATGATGAAAGAGAAGTGCCAGGTCCAATTCTACACAAAGGTGAAAATTGCCAGATCTTTTGGTAATTCTCACCCAGTTTCAGAAACAAGTCAGACAGGTGGTACAAGACTGTTCTCATTGGGTAAGGATATGCTCTCATGGAATACACTGCCCAGTGATGCCAAGTATTGGAGAGTAAATTTGAGGGAAGTACCATTTAAGAAACTGCATCTTTATGATGCTTCTACGTCTGGCAAATGCTATTAATAAGACACAGTCCCTAGGCTGTAATCAAGGCAGAGTAAATTGATTTTTTTTTAAAAAAGAAGCTTTTCATAATGGGCAGCTGGTAGCCACAAGTCAGAAAAAAAATGAAATACAGTCTTTTTAAAAGACAAGTGAAAATAAGAATCAAAGCTCTCTAGACCACTAATTCCCTGCTGTACTTTCCTTACTGTTCAGCTATATGACATAGTAGCTATTTCCTAGAGACTGAGACTCCTGAGAATTTCATTGGTCTCTGAGATCCTTTCAAGCTCTAGGGATGCCTTGGTTCTTCCCTCTATGTGAGATTCTTTGAGTTTGGCTAGTATCATTATTTCACTCATATTTAAAGGATCATATGGAGCTTTTTCTGCATTTCGTTGGTCTCCATTTCTTCAGAGCCTGCCCTGTAGCTTTTGGTACGATTGGTTTGTCCTTTCACTATGTACTTACCAAACAGCAAGAGCTTAAAATATCACATAGGTTCGTTCGTTCTTTCTTTCTTTCTTTCTTTCTTTCTTTCTTTCTTTCTTTCTTTCCTTTCTCTCTTTCCTTTTCCTTTTCTCTTTCCCCTCCTTCCTTCCTTTTTTCTTCTTTCTCTTTCTTTCTTTCCCCTTCCTTCCTTTCTTTTCTTTCTGTTTCTTTCTTCCCCCTTCTTTCTTTCTTTCCTTCCTTCCTTTCTCTTTCTTTCTTTCCTCATGTAATCATTCAACAAAAACTATGAAGTGGAAATTTTGTGCCTTCATATTTGCAGAACAGACAGGAGAGGAGAGCAAAGGTTTGTGTGACACACTGGTACACTGAAATTTTCCAGGCCTGTTCTTTGCTGAGACCAGAGAAATAAACAGTTTATTCCTGTTTGAAAGCTCTCTCTCTCTACAACCTCTGAAAACATCTGTAATGATGCAGGTGTGGTAGGGGACTGATAAGCAACATTTCCTGAACACAGTAAAATGCGTAAACTTTTACTACATGCCCAATCACAGGTATGTGGGGTGATTTTTGTAGACAGAAAGGAAAGGATACTTCCAAATGTCAGGTTTCACTGTATAACAATAATTCAATGGAAAACCTCAAATTTTTCCATGAAAGCAACAATATGACAAATATTATATTGTATATTATTATAATATTATAAAGGAATCATCAGATGATCCTGCCAAGAAAAAAAAATACCTTGTAAAAGCCTGTGGCAGCTGTGTAGGTAATAATCTCACCTCAGAGCCTTGGTACAGGCTGCTCCCTCTGTGGGGAGCACGTTTCACAAAGCTAGTTCCCACTTTACCTTTCAGGCATCAGATTCAATGCCACATACCCGGAGGAGCCCTCATGAACACCCTATATATAGTAAATGAGACTTTATCTTTCCTTCTTTCAGATTCGTGTTAATCTCCTTCATATTTGTATGGCATTTTAATTGCTTCATTTTATATGTACTTTTGTCGGTCATCCCATGAGAATACCAGCTCAACAAGGGCAGGGACCATGTCTCCACTGTCTTTCCAGTACCAGTCTAGTCCTGGCTTAGAGGAGACCCTTAGGGAAAAAGCTAATGATCTACATTTAAATGGAGAACACATTCATTTCTTTTTAATACAGATCTACATCTTGTTTGCTTCTATGCCCAAGAAACAAGTTGCTGTCAGTTGATTGTGGTGTTTGTTAAGTTATTGATTACAAAATCAGGCTGTGTCTTACCATTCTGGATCCTTTTGAAAGATTACATTTTACCTCTGACATATTTTCTATCTAACTCAAGTCTTTTGCAATTTGTAAGGTACTAATGGTCATCAAGGTCCCACCCATTTACAGCCTTCATTCCTGCACTAACATACACACAAAGTTTTCATGCAGACAAAACAATATTGTGGGAATTAAAACGTTCAGTAACCTCAGAGATGGATGGCCTTACAGTGGCCATGACCTCAAGATTTTCCTGGGGCCCAAGTGTAAGTATGTAGACCCTAAGATTCACATTGGGAGCTTCACTCTTGGGTGATTCTCCCATAAGAACCTAAGAGCCAAGGCAACCTCTCACCTAGGTATTAATTCTCTGCAAAGGAGAGTAGATGTGCAGCATGAATTGCTTTGCTGCAAAATTGATAAAGGAGAAAGAATAATATGGTGGCAGAATTGCTATATTTTCATTTACTTTTATGTGGTTTAAGGAGGAGATTCCTTGCTTGTTAGAATGTCACACAAACCAAAGACCACAGCTTTAAGCCAAAACTTGAGCAAAATTACATTTTATAAAGTGCTTCTCTTCTCTGTAGACTATTAAATATCAGGTATCAGTTCTTTCTTCAGAAGACATATGTAAAATGAATTATAAAATCAGTTGTACTACTTTGTCTCCATGAATTTTCAGGGTCTAATGTATAATTTAACCAAAATAGCATCCATCTTCTGGAAAAATATTGCTGAGATTTATTTCCTTTTTGTTTCTCAGACTTTCCATGAAGGTATATAATAGATTTGGGACTATTGTTTAACAAGTTACTTGAATGTCACTGGAAGGTAAGAACTTGGTTTTTGATGGTAAGAAAATAAATGAAACTCTCAGTGAGTACTTAAATGGGTGTGAGTACATGACTAACAACATGTTCATCAAAATATTCATTTGATAATACAAATAATTCCTTGAAAGGTTTAGACGGTTCTGCCTTTATCTTTTGAGTACACCTCAACGCACATCCTTATTTTACTTGGAGAAAAGAAAATGTAACCATGTGGCGATTTTTGGAAGTTATCAAATAGTCGACTTTGGACCAGATAGATGTGACTTTGGATTTTGATTCTACCACTTGCCCTCTCCTAACCTTACTTTCCTCATTTGTAAAATGGTAATGACAACATAGTATTAGTGAAGGTTAGTTAAGATAGTGAGTATAAAATATTTGGAACACTATAGATGCTGATTGGAAGTAGGTTCCTTTTTTTTCTTAAATTATTATATCAAATAAAAAACAAGCAAAAATCCTCTAGGTAGTATCATATAACTTGTGTATTATTGCTGAGACACTAACTTATTTCCTCCAAGTCATCATCAACAATGGAGAACTAAAAGGAATAATCAACACTTTTCTGCAGTAGTGCTGCCCCAATAGAACTTTCTGTGATGGGGAAAAGTTTCATACCCGTACTGTCCAATATGGTAGCCATTAGTTATATGTGGCTAGTGTGCACCTAAAATGTGGCTAATGTGGCTCAGGAACAGAATTTTATTTTAATGTAGTTTAAAATAATAACAATTTATTTTTTTTTAATTTTTTGTTTATTTTTAAGAGAGAGCAAGAGAGCAAGAGAGCGAGCCAGCAGGGGAGATGCAGAGAGAGAGGGAGTCACAGAATCCCAAGCAGGCTCCGTACTGTCAGCACAGACCCCGATGTGGGGCTCAAACCCACAAACCGTGAGATCATGACCTGAGCCAAAATCAAGAGTTGGGCACTTAACTGACTGAACCACCCAGGTGCCTCAAATTTTAATTTTAATTTTAAATATCCAGGGGCGCCTGGGTGCTCAGTCAATTAAGTGTCAGACTTCAGCTCAGGTCATGATCTGGTTGTTAGTGAGTTTGAGTCCCATGTCAAGCTCTGTGCTCCAACAGCCTGGAGCCTGCTTCAGATTTTGTGTCTTCCTCTCTCTCGCCTCCTCTGCTCACACTCTATCTCTCTCATAACTAAACTAAATAAACATTTAAAAAAATTTAAATATCTAGATGTGGCTACAGTATTGAGCAGTGCTGTTCTACTGAAATAATGTGCTCAAATTTGGCGGAGGTATATCGAAGTCAGCATTCACAATTAATTGAAAATAGTATTACACATATAACTTATGACTAACCAATTTATCTTATCACAAGTCTCACTGTAATAGACATCAGAAAGTGAAGTTCTTGATAAGTGATCTTCTTGACCTCTATTTACCCTCTTAATTCCTATGTTAGATGCAGACGGCAGAAATCTCATTTTCTTCGGTATGATTGTCTAAAATTGGGCTGATAAAGTTTTCCTTATCCAAAAAGAGGATAGTGAGTAGTAAGAAGCCCTCACTCTCCCTTTCATCCCTTGTTCAGAAGATAACTGTATTCAACTACAGATGTATGCTCACAAGTATATCTGAAGGGCAATCGATGTCTATAAGAATTGTGACTGAAACCATCCACAATTCTGTATGTTTTTTGAAACCTTAATGAGAAACTGGGTGTACTGGCCAGGTGGAGATGTGAATGGCCAAAGGAAGGAGGGCAAAACAAAATGTACCAAGATATCAATTAGGAGATACAGCCCTCAAAGCACAGATAAGACAGTAAGATTATGTGTAGAGATTCACATGGTAGAGAGGGTAAAGGCAGAACAGTGGCTGGTATCACAGCATCTGCAAGAGATAGGAGAAAGAGAACATCCCAGATTTTGGAGGGGAATAATCCAGAGTGGGGCTCTTGTCTGAAACTGTGCCCCCTAAGATCAACCAGCTCTTTGATGAAAACTTTCAGACCACATTTACCTAACTCCTGAGACACAGTTGGTAGGTGATGTTGAATACTCTTCTGCCTTGAAACTCTGTTTTTATAGTTTTTATGTACCATTTGATTTCTTCTTATCTGACTGGTGATGGCTTCTTAATCTTCCCAACTGATATTTTACTGCTCAGCTCTGGGGGTCACCATTCACATTGTAGACCTCATAAATTTATAAAGTGATAATGACAACTTTCTAGTAGATAGTTAAGGTGTTCTCTAATTCACACAAAGGCACCATGTGACCTAGAAGTTCCCCCAATTTGGCAGCGAGGAAGGCAATACTTCTCTTAGGTGCCACCCCAGGCACTCGGTTGTTTTCATTTTTAATTAGCTACTGATAACCTCATTCACACATGCTGCTTATGTGTATGAATACACCACCACTTATACACTATCTGTATGGCTCTTAAACTGTTATGTTATCCACAGCCCAGATTTCTCTCCTGAGCCCTAGACTCACACCTAATTGGGTTTTACACAGTTCTATTCAGATGTTTCAGTGGCACCAGTAACACAACATATTAAAAAAAGAATTGATCCCCAATCCTAATTAACACCACCACTGTCCACCTGGTAACTCAGGCCAGAATGTGAGAATTATCTCCATCTCACTCCCAACATAACTTCAATCTGTGAATCCTGGAGATTCTACCTCATTTAACCCCTTCTGTGAACGTCCCCATTACATCATGCTGCAGCTGCTTGGGACCTCTCCACACTCCCCTTTACTAGCTGCCATCTTTCCTGTCAGTCAGGTTCATTCTGCCTCCACAAAGCTCCCAGTGAGATCTTTCTAAAATGCATGTATTATTATGTCACTCTCTTGCTAAAGCTACTTAGATTTTTATGGCTTGTTAATGTGATTCATGATAAAGTCTGAATTCCCAATTGTGGTGTATAATAAGGGATAGGCAAGCTGGTCTTTGTATGCTTTTCCATTTTCAACTTCTCCCACATCTCCTAACATATGCTTGCACTTTAGGCACACACACATTTGGCTTTCTTAATAGGCCCAGCTCAACCCCTGACTGGTCAATGCTCTTCCTAGAACTCCAGTGGTATTTACCAGGGGACAGTGCAATAGTTTCCAAATCTGCCTTTCCTTTTAGACTTTAAGTACCTTGAGAACAGGAATAGGATTTTATCTTTGTATCTCTAGCACCTGCCTACCATCTGCCAATTTAGAATAAATGTTTACCAAGTAGATGGATGAATGCAAAGGTCAAAGAGAAAGGAAACAGAGGAAATTAAGGAGATTCAAATACTCCCAGAATTTCAGGAAAAGTGGGGAATGTGGAGATTTGGGGTAGAAAGGAAAACAGTGGCTGTGATGAAGAAAGTATCTTTAGATTCAAAAATCACTACCTGTATAGGTGGAAGTATAGTGTTGATAGGATCATTGCTTCACTGACACAAAACATTTTTATGCTTCAGTTTTTTAATTTCCATTTACAAAAAAAGGAAAATATTACATCAAAGCATTAAGACTCTAAAGTCTTTGTCCTTTATGACAAAGCTATGAATATTAGCGATAATCCTTAAAAGGGAAGTTGCTATGATATTTAAATGTAAAAGAATAATGGGAGAGAATATAAATTGCCTTTATATAAAGCTATTTCAAATAGTAAGCAAAAAAACAAACTCCTTAAGCACAGTTTTCCTTTCTCTTCTATTCTTTTTTTGTCTTTTAAAAAAGTTTGTTATTTTTAAAGTACACAGCTGTTCACAACTATAAATAAAGAGGTAGCAATGTAACATCTATTTGAAGTACACTTAATGTCACCATTAAGCTATATTAATTATTTCATGTATGTACAGACAAGGGAGATGAACTTTGGTTCATAGAAATTGTCTTGCATTAAGTCCGAATTAAAATATCCTAAATATTTTGTCCTGAATTAAAATATCTGGGGTATATCTGTTTGCTTGGCTGCCACTATTAACAAAGCCTGTGATAGAATATATCATTTCATTTTTTTAAATGTTTATTTACTTTTGAGTGACAGAGCACAAGCAGGGGAGGGGAAGGGAGAGAGGGAGATACAGAATCTGAAGCAGACTCATGGCTCTGAGCTGTCAGCACAGAGTCCAACATGGGGCTCGAACTCATGAACTCATGAGATCACGACCTGAGCCGAAGTTGGATGCTTAACCAACTGAGCCACCCAGGCCCCTGAATACACCATTTCTTAAATGAACACTTGTAGAGTTTTAGAAGTCAACTCTCCATATCATTAGTTTGGGGTATCATTAAACTACAAGGCTAGAACATAATTTCCAACATAGACATTTTGAAAATGCAATTAATTAAGAAAAAAAACTTTTAGTTTTTTATGCCGGGGGGTGGGAGAGGGTGGTGGGTAGGGGGATGGGTGTAATAAGTGAAGAGGAACAAGAGTACACTTATTGTGATGAGCAGTGGGTAACAAATAGAATTGCAAATCACTGTATTGTACACTTGGAACCAACACAACACCACATGTTAATTACTGGAACTTTTAAAAAATTAAGAAGAAACTTTTAGTTTTGAAAGCTTACTGACTCCATGTTTTGTTTCATTTGCATCTTCCTCTCCAGAATCAGATCAGATGTTCAGGAGGTGCTCAATGAATACTCAGGCAAATCACTGACTCTTTCTAAGCCTTAGCTCCCTCATCAATGAGTGGAATTAATAACCACATCATAAAGTTATTAGAGAATTAAATGAGATACTGCTTTGTATGCTGCCTGGTACAAAGGTTGCTATTACTGTTTGCATATCTGATCCTATAAGCCTTTGTAGGTTACAGGGCTTTTGTACCTTCAACATGTTCATATAAATATAAGACTATGCATTTTATATTTCAGTTCCAAAAATGGGGTAACAGTTGAGTAAAAAAACATGAAGATGGGCTTAGAGACAAATTGGAAGCTGTAAGTGAACACAGCCATCCAACTATGAGAAACAGTTCTGGTAAGGACCACATACCTTATGAAACCAATTCTTGCCTTTTGGAATGATTTTTATTTGCCATAAAGCATAAAGTTATTATTGAATAATATAATGCACATTACAAGTCAAATGCAAATGTTGCTTCATGTGAATTTTCCCTCCACTGAGGACTTTTAGCAATTCTCCCACAGACCTGACTCCAAATAGGTGAAGAACCACTGACTTAGACTGTTATAGTCACCGGATCTACTTTGTTCTCCTTATAAGCAGATTTAAAAATAAAAATTTTAAAAGAACTCCTTTAAAGGAGGGTCTTCTCTGAGTCTTCCTTGTTTTTGCAGATATAAGTGTATTCTGAATCTTTTCTATTTTGCTTTGAATATATTCTTTGGTTCTCTTCTCAGTGGAAGTACAGAACAGTTGGTAACAATCATTCAGAAATGATCTCAATGTTGCTGCTTTACCCTTCATGCATTAAATAGTTGTTTGTAGGAATGTTCTTTGTTGTTACCAGTATTCCACAATGTACATATTTATTTTCATTTTAAATGGTGATATAGGAGAATAAGGTCAATGTTCTGAAATAACATTCAGGGTGAGCCTTCATAAACAATACAAGGAAAATTCACTATCACCAAATTAGAAGAAAACAATGAAAGTGGTTGTAGGTGGTGGACAGTACAATTTCTTAGAATACTGTGAATTAAAATAATTCAATTATGCCCAAAGCAGATGAGTTTTGCTAATTTGAAGAAATCACCAAAAAAGATATGCTAATAACCTGGCTAAACAGCAAGAAAGACTGGGTCAGAAAAATTATTGAATTATTTAATAACAAAGAAAGTGTTCACAAAAAAATCTCACGAGTAGAAGTAAAGAACAAGAATTTAGATTTTTCCACCTAATGGTAATGGTAATGAAAAGACAGAGATATAAAAGCCTGATATTGTGGAAGCCAGAGGGGCTTAAGCTCACACTTCTCCACCATACTCTATATGAATGATTTCAAGCATACTCACTACACGTTGCACTAATTCTGTTAACTAAACAACCTTTCTTAAAGTCTGAGGACTCAATGTAATAAAAAGTCTGACTCCATTATTTGATGTTTGATTACAGACACTTTTCAAGCCTTACCTCGCCCTCCCCCCATTCTGTCTCAGATCCGGGCAAGCTGTTAAGAAGGCCCAGGTGCTGTGCCACAAGCAGTAAGTTTAAACCATGCACTAAAACCGTCACTCCAGCTCCAGCCCCTACCCACCATGAAAACTCAAAGCCAGTCTCCTTTCTTTCACAGCTCTTTCAAGCTATTTTCAGATCAGCTTGAGAGGCCCACCCTCTATGGAAAGCTTCATTATGGGAATATAAAACCTTTTGACACTTCTTGGTGTGTGTGTGTCTGGCATCATCAGTTTGGGAATCCAAACCAAATTTTGGGTGGTTATCCATCTCAACTCTATGGACTGGCCACAACACCCAGTCACAATGACACTGGAAGGAGGGTCCATTTCAATGAAGACATAATAATTATAGTACCTAGGAAGAAATCTGCATCCAACAGAAACCTAATAAACTGAGTTCTAGTTTATACATCAATTTCTTGTGAGTTCATATACTGGGAATCCATTCCATTAAACCTAATGATGCCAAGACCAAATTTCAGAAACTGAGAAGCTGAAGACTAGTCTTGGAAATGATAATCCCTCCAACGGATTACTACAACACATCTTCACCTTTTGCTTTCATTTATCATATGGAAACACAACTGTATTTCTTTAAGAAACAATACATAGTCCATTTAAGGAATAGTTCTATTTTATGGGAGGGAAACTAGAATGTCTGCAGGGGGCAGTAGTTAAATGAAGCAGGTAAGAGAAAATAGACATGCTAAGCTTTTGTATTACAACTCAGGATAGCCTGGGTCTATTACATTGTCTATTAAACACTTTACTGTGCTTTGAAAGGCAAATCAGGGCAAGCTTCTGACACACTACTGTAAATGCTAAGGTTGAAAAGCTGCATAACTAAAAATGTCAGTATTTTAATTCTACTGCTATTATATTTAAAAAAATATTGATATCTGCAATGTAGCCACTAATTTACAGGTATACACAGAAATGAGAAAAGAGTGCACTTAAGGAGCCAAGGTCTTTCTGTCAACTCTCTTTTTCTTTATATTCCACTTTCACTTTTATTTCATGTTGACCAGACTCTTATGTTGCATTCATTGTTATAAAAGCTGATGCTCAAGAAATGGGCGTCGCTCCTTAATTAAATTAGATGTATTAGTTGACTTTGGTATTTCAGGTACAAATGCGTTATTTTATAGAACCTTTGAACTACTTGAATAACATATAACAAATATTATTTGCTGAACTAGAAATCTGCAAAAACATGAGTAGTTTTTAAAGAACTCTAGGATTTTATGGAGTGCCTGGATGGCTTAGTTGATTAAGTGTCCGACTTCGGCTCAGGTCATGATCTGGCAGTTCGTGAGTTTGAGCCCCACATCTGGCTCTGTGCTGTCAACTCAGAGCCTGGAGCCTGCTTCAGATTCTGTGTCTCCTTTTCTCTCTGCCCTTCCCCTGCTCACACTCTGTCTCTCTCTGTCTCTCAAAAATAAATACACAATAAAAACAAGTTTAAAGAACTCTAGGATTTTGGAGTTATCCAGAACTAGTTTCAAGTGCTAATTCCACTGTTTACTGTATAACTGAGGAAAGTTCATTAGCCTCATCTGTCCATAAAGCATGTTGAGAGGATTAAATGAGTTTGCATACATAAGCATCCATCATAGTACCCAGCACATAGGAAGTATTTAATAAATAGTAACATCTTTTATTTCCAAGTTAGTTTCCTCTGGTCCTTTGGGTTTTGGTACTCTAAAATGTTGTAAGGTTTCATAAAGAACCTGATAATTCTTATTTACTCAGAACATTCAAACTCACACAATCATAAAGGACAATTTAATCAATTTAATTTGTGGAAGTGTAATAAGAAAACAATCAGCAGGAATTACTGTGGTGTACTGACTGACCCATTTTTGAATTTGATGTAAAGGAAAAGGTGGGATCATGAACTGAGTTGAAACCAAGAGTCAAATGCTTAACTGACTGAGCTACCCAGGTGCCCCTTTGTTACAGGAACCTCTGCATTTTATCTAAATTATCTGATTTGTGGAATTGTGATCAAGATGGAGGAGCAGCATGGAGACCCTCAACTTGTCTCATCCCTGAAATAGAGTTAGATCTGCACCAAACCATTTTGCACACCTAGGAAATTGATCTGAGGATCAACACAACAATCTGCATAACTTGAGCCAGAGAATTTGGAAGGTACATGGTGCAGAGAGGTGCACTGGTGCAGAGAAAAGTCATGGAGGGTAGGGAGCTGTTTTTGCAGAGAAGGACAGAGAAAGGGGGAGAGTGCAGGAAAAACACTTCCCCAAAAGTAGCTGGAAGGAAAGAGAGAGAAAGAGTGAAAATGCACGCAGGGGACTGAATAAGAAATCTGTTCCCCAAAACTATTGATGGGAATAAAAGGAGAGGCTTTCAATACCACCAGAATTCTATAAACAGTGGAGCACAGAGTCTGAAGTTCCAGAGCTCAGTGCCTGGCAGTGCTCTGGTGAGGAAGTGGGGCAAATCCCCAGAAGCAAGCAGCAGGTTCTGAGGGATCCATGTGCCACACAGGGAGAAATGGTTCCCTCACTTGGAGTGCATTTGGTAGATGCCATAAGGTCTCCCCACGGGCAAAGGTCCCAGCAGAACCTGGAGAGCAGCCATGTTTGCTGGTGTTGGAATAAAGATGCCCAGAATGCAGTGAAACCTGATGCTGGCTGTGGTTGTGGTTTGCCATAATCTCTGAACCTCTGCTGCTGCACGACTACAGGAACATTTTCTGGGGCAAGCCAGAACCCGGCCATTGCTCAGTAAGACCCTCCCCCAAGGAGTTGTGGGTCCAAGCTGCAGAGGTCTCTGAATTATGGGATTTTGAAACACAAACCCATCTGAGATAAAACTCTGGAGGGAGGTGCTGATTGGTAGGTGGACAACTTGGGCAGGGACAGGGTGGAGGCAGGGAGTGGACAGAGGTCTGAGACAAAGGAGGGGAACTTGATTTCCACCTCTCCTGTCTATGAGTGCGCACCACACTAATCCACCCCAGTAAGCTAAGCAGTGCCACCTAGTGAAGAATGGAGCCATTACATCAATCCCCACCCAAATGAACGCTCCAAGCACATCCCCCAGGAGACCAGCAAGAGTCCCTCCACCTGCTTAGTATACAGACTATTGAGGGCTTCATAGTTTTAGTTCTAGGGGAAACTGGATGTAAATTCATTTGGGTTTCATTCTGTTTGCTGGTTCATTTATTAGGTGGTTTTTTTTGTTTTTTTTTTTTTTTTTTTTTTTTTGCTTCTTTGATTGAATTGTTTTTTTTTCCTTTTCTTCAATACAGAAAATTTTATTTTTTTTAATTTTTAATTCTTTCACTTAAAATTTTTTTAAACTTTTTTTTTTAATGTTTATTTATTCTTGAGACAGAGAGAGACAGAGCATGAACGGGGGAGGGTCAGAGAGAGGGAGACACAGAATCTGAAACAGGCTCCAGGCTCCGAGCTGTCAGCACAGAGCCCAACGCGGGGCTCGAACTCACGGACCGCGAGATCATGAACTGAGCCGAAGTCGGCCGCTTAACTGACTGAGCCACCCAGGCGCCCCTTAAAAATTTTTTTACTTTATTTTTTCATTTTTGAAAAAATTATTCTATTTAAATTTCTTTATTTCATTTTATTCTATGTTTTTTTAATTTTTAAAATTTTTCTTACCTTTTTCCTTTTTTTTCTTTCCATTTTTCTCCATTCTATCAAGCTTCTTTCAAAAGGCAGGCCAAAACACGCCTAAGATCTAGCTTCTTTTACTTGATTTTTTTTGCCTTTAATTTTGTAATTTTTAGTTTTTATTTTATTAATTTTTTTCTTCCTTCAAAAGGATAAAACAAAGGAATTAACCCCCAAAGAAATAACAGAAAGAAATACCAACCAAAGGCTTAATCAACACAGATATAAGCAAGACGTCTGAACTAGAATTTAGAACCACGATAATAAGAATAATAGCTGGGCCTGAAAAAAGCACAGAATCCCTTTCTATGGAGATAAAAGAAGTAAAAGCTAGTCGGGATGAAATAAAAAATGCTATAACTGAACTGCAATCTTGAATAGATGCCACAGCGGCAAGGATGGACGAAGTAGAGCAGCAAATCAGCAATACAGAAAACAAAATTATGGAGAATAATGAAGCAGAGAAAAAAGAGAGAAACAAAGGCAAAAGAGCACATTACAAGACTTAGAGAACTCAGTGACTTATTAAAAAGCAACAACATCTGAATCATAGGCATCCCAGAAGATGAAGAAAGAGAAAAACAGGCAGAAGGTTTATGTGAGCAAATTATAGCAGAAAACTTTCTTAACTTGGGAAGGACACAAACATCATAATCCAGGAAGCACAGAGAACTCCCATTAGATTCAACAAAAACTGACCATCATCAAGGCATATCATAGTCAAATTCACAAAACACACAGACAAGGAAAGAATTATGAAAGCAGTAAGGGAAAAAAATCCTTAACCTATAAGGGAAGACAGACTAGGTTCACAGCAGACCTATCCACAGAAACTTGGCAGGCCAGAAAGGAATGGCAGGATATATTCAACGTGCTGAATTGGAAACACATGCAGCCAAGGATTCTTTATCCAGCAAGTCTTCATTCAAAATAGAAGGAGAAATAAAGAGTTTTCCAGAAAAACAGAAACTAAAAGAGTTCAAGACCACTAAACCAGCCCTGCAAGAAATTTTAAGGGGGACTCTTTGAGTGGAGAAAAGATGAAACAAAACAAAAAGACCAAAAGCAACAGAGACTGGAAAGGACCAGAGAACATCACCAGAAACACCAATTCTACAGGCAACACAAGGGCACTAAATTCATATCTTTCAGTACTCACTTTAAATGTCAATAGACTAAACGCTCCAATCAAAAGACACAGGGTATCAGAATAGATATGAAAACAAGATCCATCTATATGCTACTCGCAAAAGACCCACTTTAGACCTAAGGACACCTGCAGATTAAAAGTAAGGGGATGGAGTACCATCTATCATGCCAATGGTTGGCAAAAGAAAGCCGGAGTAGCCATACTTATATCAGACAGTC